ATGCCCTTTGGTGAATACATGTTCAATTCGGGATATCTTGCAAAAAAATAGACACCATTTGGCATTCTTTCGCAATGAGCTCATGCGGCCCAGAAGCCAATCAGAGCCGATCACAAACGCAAAATGGACACCCGGATGCTGATCACGTAAACTGCACAACAAGTCATAGGTAAATGCTGCCATCTCTCTTCTTGTGTCAATATCTGAAACCTTGGCTGAAGTTCATTGAATCTTTGGTTGGAAAGCCGCAAAGCCACACCAAAAAGACAGAAATTCAGCTGTCCATATGCAGGTTACTGGTGGTTGGTTTGGTCATAGAACAAAACAGCAAGCAAATCAAACATGATAAAATGGTACACTGCGATTTGGAGTCTGCCCCTTGACACTAACTACAACCACAATCTTAAGCACGAGAATGTGCACGACGACTTTTTGCGCCAAAAGGCACTCGATAAATTTCAAACCTGTTCATTAGACCCCTTGGCAAACACTCAATGTTTTTTTTTCACCTCTGCCTTCAGTCTGGTCTGCGATACTGTGTAAATTCTACAGGTTTTGGAATCGACAGGGACACCAGGAAGATTCGTGACCACATATTATAGAGGTTCTCAAGCAGTTGGTCCATGTGGACATTATGCTAGTATGCTGTGCTGTCTAATCTGATATGCCCACGAACTGCTTGATTCCGCTCCAAGTAACCTTAATGGGGAAGTCCGGGGAAAACACGGTATTCACGGCGATCTGGCACATACAATATCGGTCCAAGGCAGGGGTCTTCAACTTGGGTTTGTCTGGACGAGGTCCACAAGGCACCAGCCACACTTCATCGGCACAGCCACTATGTACCTGGGCTCAACTCGAGACGCCAATGTGGGCGTGGTCTTGTCACCGTGATATCTCAAAGCCATTTCTTATCATGGATACATACGTCATAAGTCATACCTGTCATCTCCCCAATAGCTGTTTTGTATCATGCCTTGATCCGCCGACTAATGAATTAAGCTGAGGGCTGAGGGCCTATTGCAGCCTGTGACAAATGCGCAACCAAACAAATCTGCAGCATATCAAGATTGTCGGGGGACTCGAATAGTCTCCCCAAATAATCTTGAAAGCTGCAAGCTGGGGCTGGAAGCTACTGACTACCATGTGTTGCTCGAGAAAGGAACACAAGAATCCTCACCATGTGACAATCTCGCTGGCGCAAGTCATATGGGAGTTAGTGGGAGGGTCGAAGGCGCCGCCATAGATGGCCACTCTCTTTGCCTTGCCTTGTGCTTGGGTGACCTGACCAGGACCACCATCGAATCGTGACACTCAAAAAATGTGTAACGTGTACCAGCATTGCAAATACTGAGTGTGTGCATGTATGTGCTTGGTACGTGCTTGGAGACACAGAATGCAATAGGATTCATTGTAATTCCGGGCCTTCAACGAGAGATCTATGATTCGATCCACACTGTAGCACTGTATCGGCTCGATCCTTGCCTTGGCGGTTGGTATGAAGAAGGATCCCAGTCCAGCTGCGACTAGCGTCGTGGGCAGCACGGCCCGAGAGACAGGCTGTTGACGGGCAAAGGCAGCGACCAAGCGCACGTGCGAACGCAGCCGGCCAGCTACTCGGCGAAACATGTCTGCTACTCAAAGGTCCGAGGCTGCACGTCTCAGAGCCGAAACATGATGGGCACGCGACCAGGAGAATCATGTCTCAAATGATGTCTCAAGTACACTCAAATACATTCCATCATGGATTGACTGCAGCTGTCAGGTTAATCAATCACATCACAAACTTGAACTTTTCTACTGTCGAGTATAGTACAGTAATGCATCTAAATTCAGCTGTTCCTAAATCATTCAGATTCATTTCGTCATTGTGTGGAAATGTCAATATCATATATAGTATAATATATATATATATAATGTGGCCCTCAGATTTATAAACCCCCCTAGAGTTATGTCTTTGTTTTTCCCTGCACTGATTTATAAAGGCCCCTAGAATAGTATATTTATTTTTGGAGGGGTAGTTGTAGTGGAATAGTTTTTATTGTTATAGTTTACTTTTATTGTAATTAATATTCCAGATGTCTTCAAAGTTAGGTTTCTTGGTTCCTTTTATTTTAATATTGCCAGAGTAGCTCCAGAGGTAGCTAGCTAAGGATTCCCTATTTATTTATCAACTGATTGATTTTCTTATACATTATTTTGGAGGCCTTGGTTGTTGAGGGGGGGGGGTTATAAATCAAGGGACTACATCACGTCGAACTGTCAACAAAGACATTGCTGGCAGATGGCACATGATGTCACCCTCTTTGAAACAACCTTTGCCGGGCTTTTAGAATTCCTGCTGGGAGCTGGGCGTCTTGTTCTTTTTTACATCCCTTCTCCAAGTGGCACTTCCGTCCCTTCTGTGGTCCCGTCACCTTCCAAGGAGCAAGTTGTTCGACAAAACAAAGCCTTCCGCCGCCAGGGCCCAGCCAGAGGCGCTGTTCAGCAAGGTGATGGCCACCGGCATGTCAGCACCTCCCACCTGCAACAATTCACATTCACATGGTTGCACATCGTTCCATGCCGGTCCACATGTTGGAAAAGAACCTTGGGATTTCGGATCTAGCTGGCTTATGCATGCTAGGCTTATGCTGACTCAAAGGATGTCTGTTAGGGGTAAATCCAGCCGATTTGCAAGACGTCCAAAGATGGACTCTAGACATCTAGCATTTAGACAAAATCACTCAGTATATCACTTATCTTAATACATCATTGCAAACCAACACGGTGGGAATTCGCCACGAGACAATTAAATGTTGTATGACAACACCAGGTCACCACCTTGGTCACAAACATGACAAACGAGCTCGATATTCGACTAAGAACCACAGTACTAGACCTGGCAAACCGCTCTGCCTGGGAGGTCACCACTAGGCCCAAGCCCGCAGCCGCTGCGGTGCCCGCCAGCAGCGTCTGCAGCTCGAATCCAGGGATCGGCGGCTGAAGGAAGGCGTAAAGGCCTCAGGCAAACGAGGGACATGGAAGGTCCGGATGAACAAGCTGATGAGCTCATGTATGATCATGTCGTACATTCAAATCTTCTTTCTCTTAGCCCGTGGCCCTACCTCCTTACTCAATTAACTAGGCGCCTACTCAATTAAGGGAGTAGTTTGCTACTAGCAATAGGACTTCAAGGAAGCTCCCCCCGCCGCCCGCTACTAGCATAGCTCACGCTTTTTCAAGGAAACTCCCCCAGCCGCCCTAAAGGTGGCGGGGGGGGAACTTCCTTGAAGAAGCGCTCGCACTAATTATTTGAAACAGAGTTTCCTGTAAGTCTGCAAATCCCTGAAACCTTTTTCATACCACTCAACTGCTTCTCCTTGTGAACATATTGGTACATTGGTATGTATATGCCAGTGTACTTGAACTGCATTCACCGCTCCGGCCAGCCAAGACTCCTGCAGCTACAGCGGCTGCCAATGAGCCGGACAGAACCTCAGGTCAAGCATGTACAGATTTGTTGTCATCTGAGTCTAAGCCTCAGTTCCAATGTGCTATACATCGCTATACCTGCAAAAACTGTAGCATGACATCCTCTTTGTGTTCACGTCATTGTTCGTGCCTGATCTTCCAAGCATGTCTGTATGGGACCTGTCCCCGAGGCTCCGGGCATTGCCCCCTGGCAGCTTGGCATTGCCCCCGACGAGGCCCTGGAGCTTGGCGAAGGCCACCATGGAGCCGGTCACCTTGGTTGGTCAGACTGAGAACTTGGAAAACCTGTCTGGCTTTCGATTGCAACTTGGAGAACTTGGAAACGCTTGGCAATTTGTTACGAGGTTCATCGAGGTTCCACAGGATGGGGTTATTCCTTCCCTGCGGCAGCGGCCCCGGTCCCAAACAGCGAGAATGTCAAAAAAAAAGTCGGTCAATTCCAGCCAAAATAGCTATTATGTGTGCTCTCGATCGACACGCAAGGCCGGTGAAGAGTTTGGAAGGTAGTGTAGACATGTGTAGACTGTAGTTTATTGATGGTTCGCAGTCCAGTGAAGGTGCGACATTATCTGATCTGAGGCCCTTCAAGTTGGAGTCAAGGACACTTTCTGGGCAGGCGAGAGAAGTGCGTGGTTAAGTATTTGAGCGTGTTTGAGATGTTTGAGTGGACTGAAGCCAGAATGGCATGGAATGGCCACAAATGGATTCTGTTGAAGCAGGTACAGGCTGCCATTCAAATTCCAAGAACCAGTTCTGAGATGTTGTGAGAACCTTTGCAACCTGTTGACCGAACCATCTTTGGACATTAATCTTATGGTTCAACTGCTTTGTTCATACCTTTTTTGATGCTATACAATGTTACAATGCTTTACTAGCTGCTTTAAGTTGTTGACTGTGTTTTTATTGTTGACAAACCTATTTCTGATCAGCCTACCTGTTCTCACGTCAAAAAACAATCTAAGGATTCAGTGTCGAGATTGCTTGCTGTTGAAATGGTTTGAAAAGTACATGTTGGGATAGTCAACGTCCATGGATGACAGTCAGTTAAGCAATTTGAGACTTCCATACTAGCAAAAGAATCAACCAATCTCTCCACGCGACAAAGCGCCAATAGAGCAATACGAGTACCCTTTTCAGAACTGGGTTCAACATGACACAGATGCTAACTGGAAGTGTGCTTTCTCCCAAGGTCTCCACAAAGCACAAGCGAAAGCAGTCACTCCAAGCTACTGTGAGTGCACCAATGCCAGAGGCCAGGTACTCCGAAGTTGCATGCATCGCATCGGTGCTGCTATGCTGTAGGGCCGATCCCACCGCCGTCAGGGACGCAGCCAAGCCTCGTTTTGTTTCGGACGCATCCAGTCAGAGGCTCAGCTGAGAAGCGCAGCTTTGCGACACCTAAGGCCCTGGCCGACCAAAGAGTGGAAGGCCGCGACCAACTGAGGCAACGAAGTAATTTCCTGAGGCAACTATGTGCAATATGCGGGATGAAGTTACCATAGGGATCTACAGGGTGATGTACAATTTGCAGAAATTGGAATGTTTGCATTCTTCCAAGATCCATCTCGTTATGGGGATCTTCCACAATTTGTCATAGGCTAGCCCCCCTTTAAGCTGGCCAAACTGATTGAGCCCACACATCTCAAACCATCTCCAGTCAATCTGATCCAAACAGAATGATATCGCACTGATACACATCGACTTTGCAGGCACTGCCATACACAGTGTCGAGCCCTAGAAAGCAACTCCAGTCTTGGAATATCTCGGGTGTTTCCCGCTGAAGGCTGAGCGTGTCTCGGGTGTTTCCCGCTGAAGTAGCCCATCATAGCCCATCACCATCTCGTTTCACCAGCTGTGAGCCTCCTGGCCACGCCAAGCGTCCACCTGAGAGGCCACACCAATCCCGAGACCAGTGCCTGCAGCTAGAACCACCGCCTTGGCAAAGACTCTTCGAGCCAGGGGCCACTGTGGAGAAAACATGTGTTTTCAATTGAATATCTTAGTAGAAAGCACTAAGGAAGATGACGTAGACCCAAGGCCCTTTGAAAGCAAATGGTGGCTAGGTCTATACGAAAGGATTCGTGTTTCCAAGACCTAAGGTTTAAAGTCTAAGACTAAGACCTAAGGACCTAAGGCCGTGTGGCTGTGGATTTCGCCATTTGGCCGTCGGGTCTTCACTAGACAGCGGTGCCCTAGTGAAGAAAGGCTTAAAGGGATGGAAAAGTAGCTGCTGTTGCACCATGCGACCATTCTGGACAGCTGTCTGCAACCCTGTGCCAAACTTTGAGTGTACTTCTGGCAGCTCGCCAGGCATCATGCGAGTGACCTGAATACAAGCTACTACTTGTTTTTGTTTCTTCAAACCAAAGACTTGGAGGAGGTCTACCAATTTCACACACATTGGATGAGCTGTTGATTTCCGGTTAATGCATGCCATTGTTCTTTAGTCTCTTTAAGTTTCTTTCCTCTTGTCCTACAGCTTCACAGCGCTGAACACAGCGCTGTAACCAATCTTGGTCAGAACCTCATTTGAAGGATGATGCCTTCACGTTTTGCACACCAAACATCTGACACAATGGATCTTCCGCATAACCATGGAGTCCATGGACACCCACCTCTGGCTCCTCTGAAAACTACGAGAGTCACCCAAACGGCCCAAACGCAGGAGGTCTTTCGAGGTTACTCTGACATGTCTGCTTGTTTGGGGTCTAAGTCCTACACCAAAGGATGATCAGGATATTGTTCTTGGCCTTCAACTAAAGCGAAGGTACAAGAATATCATAGAATATCATGTCCCTCATAATCCCGCGACACATGTCCAGGCTACTCAGCTCCAAACCACTCTGCTGCCCTTCCTCCCTTTCCCTCCTGCTATTGTCCTCTTTAGTTCCATTCCGCATCATTCCAGGGTGCAATTTGGGTCAGAACTGCACTGGAGGCTCCCTGGGCATAGGCCAAGCCCAAGGTTCCCGCCAATGCGCCTAGCACACCACTCAACCCCATGGCGTTCCCGAACTGTGCCTCATGCGGCCACGAACGCCAGCAGTCCAAGCGGCCATGGGTTTTATATGGGTTGGAAAGCGCGGGGTTTGCAGGCTTGATGTTCTCTTGGATGTCTTTGTTACATTTTGTTACTTGGGATTGGGATAGATGCTGCTTATTGGATGTGATATGATGTGATGCTGATGGTGTTGGATTCTTACTCAGTAGTGACTCTTTCAAGGCCAACGTCCGTGAGTGTGGTCACCCGAAATTGAATCGTTGCGGACAACATCTCTCAGTGTCGCTGAGTCTTTCACTGTGAACCTGGTAATACACTCCTGAAGGTTCCTGCGTTGAGCAAACAAAAAATCGGTAGCTTTCTGGTCCATTCAGACCAAACTAAGTCTAGCACAGTTTGCTGAGAACTGAGTCCGCTGATGGCACCAATGCACATCATGGAGGCGACCAAATAAACCATCTGACTCTCCTGGATCAATGTGCGATCTCGCCACAGGCACAAGCTGGGGGAGACGCATGGAAAACCCATGAAATGACATGTGACACGTGTGTACAGATTAAAGCTGAATATGGATTATATTTTCTCGGGATGATTGAATCTTTGGTTGGTATTGATGCTCTGAAGCCTCTGCAGAATCTGATGCATTTCCCGTCAGAAAGGGCGGTTTAGCATGTTAGGCCTTGCGGATGAACCGATTCGACAGTCTGCAAAAGGGTTGTCTTTTTTTGCGTTCATCTTGGCAAGGTTAATACACTCCAATGACCTCCTAGGCGATCTAAATCTAGTTCAACCAGAAGCCTATCATCACTTTGCGCGACACCATGCCAAGGTCAATCTCCTGTGCCAAGTCCATGATGCCGAAGTAGGAGCCGGCACCATACAAGCCAACAAACAGCAATGCTGGTAGGGCGTATAGCTCGGGAAACTGGGAGACCTCAAACGTGATCAGTTCTGGCAGGATCTGGCAGGTCTAAGTGGGCTAGTTAAGCAGCATTTGTGCGGTGCAGTTGATGCATTGAACAAATATGGAATTGGAACACAAAGCATCTTCGATCTTCATTGTGTCTTGCACATTTAATCCCAATCTGATCAAGCCAACGCTCCATGTCTCAAACCCATTTTGTTCTAATTTATTGGAACGCTCCATGTCGCCGAGTCACATCAGTATCTCGCTTGAACATGTCAATCATCCGCCGGGTCATCACAAAGCCTCCGCCTGCCGTGCTTTATCAATCAAGGCAGTCCTGAGTACCTGCCTCTTGACGAAGAAGAGAAGCTGCACTGCATTGCTGGTGAAGAAGACTCACAAACACTCTGCGCTGTCCATTCCACGGTGCTTCAAAAGCGGTCTGTGTGCCTACGTTCACCATGGACACCAAGGCAGCGAGGGCCGCGAGCCACTGGGACAAGGTCTCCGGCATGAGTCCTGTCAAACGGCACCAACAGCCTATCCGTGGGATTCACTTCAAAATGCATGGAATGGCAACTGCATTGGAATGTCGATGAATTTCGGCATAGTTGCAGAAGCTTTGCACATGTCATTCCTGGTCATGCCTTCTCTGTCTTCACTTCAGTACCAAAAATTCTAAAGTTGTGTGCGTCGATGTGTCTCTACCGACGTCTACCGTTTGCCGTTCTCGTGTCTCTCGCCTCCGCCCATCATCAGAACTCCTCCCACCACGGTGAGGCCAGAGATTGCGTTGGTCACTGACATCAATGGGGAGTGAAGAGCCGGAACCACCTTGAGTGCTGCATGGTGGATCAGAACAATCAAGTAGCTTGCGCAACCTGTCATGGCTTGATATGGCTTGCAAATTTTGAAGAAGAGAACAAAAAGGAGCGAAACCGTGACACAAATGATATCAAATGCTTAGCAAACAGTGACAATCTTTTTGGTCCCTGCAACATTGACGCTTCTAAACCTTAGAAGTGTGCCTCCAAATCCCCCAAAACCTTTCACATTTCAAAAACGGTGGCATTGGCCCTTCAAACGCAGCCTTCCTCTGCAACACTTCGTTAATGGGAAGTGTGCGCTCCGAATCAAGACCAGTTTGGGGTGTTTGATGTGCATGCTGGAAACGTTGCATCAGGCCCTTTAGAATTGACCAACAAATTTGGGAAGCTTCTCACTTGGGTAGTTTGGCACGTATTTGCTCTTCAGCCAGCGCAGCCCAGTAGCTCCATACACCACTTGGGCACCACCGATCAGGGCCAAGGCCAAGGTCGTGAGCATGGTGGTCATGGTGCTGCCTGCGGTTCCTGCGACACCGTAGCTGAACAGTGTCACCACGGACAGCAACATGACAAAAAGATACGAAGAGTGTGCAATGATTGACACATTTGTCTCAAATATGGCCTAAAGTCAATTGGGCCAGCCACAAACTCTTTTGGGGCGGGATCTTATTTGTTAGAAAATCAAACCTGTTGAATTCCATGGACATGTGTTGCAGAAATACAACAAAATACCACAAAGGATACCGTGTCGAAGTTCACTGTTTCTGGGTCCCTTTCGACTAGGTCTCTTGCAATTCCCTCTATCTCTGGAAGAGAAGGATCTTCTAGTCCTGTTAATAAGGTGCACACGGCTGGCTTCTTGCCACGTGTCATACTGCCAGCGTCCATCTTACATGTCTAAACACCAACACATCGCACAGTCTCAACTGTTACTTCTCCATGCATGCTTCTCCTGCCAGAAGCAGCGCGACAACGACGAAGGATACCCAAGCAGCCGCTGAGGCAGTGCTGTTGAACGACTCCTCGATCCAGGTTGGCAAAAGGACATGTATGGAAATGTAACTACAGTACAAAAGGGTTTCATCTACTCACAGAATCATGCCACAAATCTCTCAAATTCATTGCTTCAGCTCATGGACATTAATTAGGCAGCAAATATCAGGGAAACACATTGCAAAACAATCCCTACGAATCTGAGGGTTCTGAGCTACCCCACAATCCCACAGTAGCATCATCACCCCTTTGTCCTCTTCTGGGGAAATCTGCGCGACTGGCTCTTGTTCCGCAACTTCTTCCTGGAAGGGATGATACACGTTGCATGATGGCGGTGTTGGAACAGCTAATCATCTGCGTTCAGAAATCACATGGATTTTTTGTTAGTGAAACCATCTGCCATCATCCGCCTCTTTGGGAGCAGGTGTAGGCGCTGGTGCCGGAGGAGTCCAGGGCCAGGTCACTGTGCCCTGACCTTCGCGCAAAAGTTGACGTGGGGGTTGTCAAGCTGGTCACAGACTTGCGGATCCTTTTTTTTGGCAGCCTCTAGAATTCTATACTCTTTTGATGAACGCTCACGTGCTCCTTAGCGCTAGAATCTAGAAATGACAAGACCAGGCGACAGTCGTTTGTTGGATGTTGCTTGTTCATCACTGCTAAACTGCGATTCCAATGACAGTGACCGGTCCAAGCGTGGAGGGCCGATGTGACGACATCAATGTAGAATGTAGAGTAAACGTAGTTAGTATCTTCAATATGCCGATATGTGTTTTCAAATTGACCAATTCAGCTTTCGAGAGCCCAATTTCCTTCAGCTTCAGCGAAAGTAATGTTGGATCAGAATTAGCAGCATAGGGGGGGCCGTACTGGGTGGATAAAATCCATGGCGCCTGATCCGGGCGCCAGCCTCTGAGCTACCTAACAAGGGGGTCTGTCCCTTAAAATAATCCACCCAAGAAACCGTGGGCGGTTGTGGGGGTTTGCCTATTCCAAAGGGCCCAAGCTGTCAACCTTGAAACTGCTTTTTTTGCTTGAATTTGAACCTCAAATTTATCCACGTGATCTGGCTGAGAAAGGATCAATCACCTCAAAAAAACTTGTGCAGACCCTAGGTCCAAGTACACCCGGTATAATTAGCATAGTCCCCCTAACAAAAACATTTGAGGGAGTCTGAAAAGTCAGGAGAGCTGCGGTGGTAGTGTTTGTTGGTGCTGGATGCGGGCGATGTTGGTACGTACTCAACAGCTCTGGATTTTACGCATGTGCCTCAAATCATGTCTGTACAAGAATTTGGACCTATACGGAACCCATGTGCATCTCCAGTGTGGAGGTGCATGCCATGACCTTTCAAATTCTTCTTCTTTGGGTTCCCCTCCCAGTGGTGGGCATTGCATTCGAGTGACGGCAAATGAGCGATCCCCTCGTTGGTACCTGGCTTGAAGGATTGGACCATTTCTGCTGCTCCGGAAAGGCCTACGCAAGCGGAGTAAATATTGAAGCGATGGACATCAATGGAAACCGTGTCTTGGTTTGCATGCCATGGCATGCCATGGCCGACGCGTTGCTTTTGCAGACGTCAAGTCAGTTCCAGAATTCTGAAGCTGGCTGGGAAGGGGCACATCATCATAGTCGATGAAGAAGAAGTTCTTTGGACCCATGCTGCAAAGAAACTTTGCCATGTTGTTGGCGAACAAGAAAGAGGCCTCGCTGAATTTTTGGTAAAAAACATGACTGAAACCTCTAGAAAGCATCACTTCCATTCATCCGCTTGTGCTCATGTATCGCATTCCAAAAGGTGCACCCAAGACTGGCTTGGGATTAGGATTAGCCAAAACATCTCCTGCATTACCTGCCTTGGCTGCGGGGGTGCTTTAAATCTAGGATGTGCATCGAGTCATATTCGCACTGGCACAAGACTTCAATGCTGAGCCGATCTGAACTCAAAGAATGCGAATGACTCTTTAGTCACTTTAGTCTGAGAAAACACTGGAGATAGCAGTAGGCTAATAGGTTCAAGGTCCTGACTCCAGCGATCTCCAGGGTAGAATGGGTCGCTTGAATGTCGGAATGGATAGAGAGGATGATAATGCCCAAAAAAGCGATTGCGTGCCTACATCGGCTGTGATATGCAGCCTTGAAACAGGCTAAAGATTTCTTCATATTTCTTCTGTGCCTCACCTGAGCCGGCATTCGGCTTGGCATGTGCTCATAGAGGGAGAGGCCCACATGCGTCACCTTGTTGTACTCGTAGATTTCTCCTGGCCTCGGATGTTTGTGTGGCTGATCAGCATCAATCGGCTGCCGTCTTGTGACTGTCTTGTGATGGATCGAGTGGATCCAGGCATCAGTGTCTTGGCACACGCCGACCTACAATTCGTGCGCCGAGTCACCAGAAAGCCTGTGCAACATGTTTGACTCGACCCGCCACAAAGTTCATTGTCATCTCAACAAACAGGGCATTGAAATGCTTCTGAACCAGAAGGAAATAAAGAAAGCAAAAAGGAGTCCAGTCCCAAACTCCAGTTCTCGTGAGAAATCAATAGCGTTTAGATGTATAAGCTTTAGAATCCCTGTTGATATTTCAAGGAGAACCTGGGCCGCTTGATATTCTAGTAGAATTCTAGGTGAGGTGGTTTCAACCCAAGTCTCTTGGACTGGTACGTTCAGAAAAACAAAATCAAAATGGGTTGGAAAAACGACTCTGTCCGGGCTCAGCTTCAAAAGTCTCAGCGAGCAAAACAATCCATTTATCATTTTCTAGGAGAACATTGACAGCTGCATAACAAACATGGGTGGACATCCCAGAAGTCATTTTCTAGGAGCCTGCTCAGGGCATCCGAATCGTCCTTTTCTAGTAGCTGGAGGGGTCAGGTGTTGGCATTCTCTAGTGAATCCCTGGGAATTGATGAATTAATTTCCTTACAACATGAGTCTCCCAACATCATGGATCAGCTTTGCATTCTCTAGTGAGGAACAACTTCAGCACTAGAAAATGCCGCACTTGTGTCTTTTGACCCTCTCGTCGGGCATCCGTGTTTCTTCTGTCTTGCCATTCCCATATTACATTTTCTAAGTGCTTTTGTGCGTGCGGGAATCATTTTTCATCATTTTGCAGTGAGTTGCTTGCTGGACGCCCTAGTAGACCCCAAAAAGCAGGCCTCAGCCCTACCATGCCTTTCCATTTCTCAGGACAGTGCCGCAGCTTTGCAGCAGGTGCCAGGCGCACCAATTATATACTGTAGAAAATCAATGTGGTTGGGTTAAATGAATGGTTGCACCTCCTCATTTTCTGATTCTAGTGGCTTTGATGCTTGAGGCAGGCATTTTTCTGTGGGGTTGCCTGTAGAAAGTCACGGTGGTTGGGTCAATTTTCTAGGAAACTGTGGCTCAATGCTTCAAGATGTCAGCAAAAAATGTCCTTTCTTCTTTCCTCTCTGCTTTCCCTAGAAAACTGCCTGCTAGTCCCTAGAAAACGCGTTTTTGTTTTTTTGCACTGTTTCCTCCAAGCGTCCTAGAAAATTCAAAATCGAATGACAATCACCTATCATAATCTCACTCAAATTACTTAATAGAAAATGACAAAAAAACACAAAAACACAACATGTTCAATCTGCTCGCTTGTAGAACATGCCAGGGCATCAACTCCGCGTATAAAAGTACTGTAGCTGCAGAAAAACATATTTTGTAGGAGACCTAGGTCCCTGCATTTCCTAGGGGACATGTCATCAGGGATGCGTTAGATTTCATTAGATTTCTAAGTCATCCGTATGTTCAACCATCTCAACAAGATCAGAAATCAGAAATACGTTCAAACAACATGGTTTCATGTGTCCAAGGAGACAAAGTTTAAGAATTTGCAACAAAGTGGTGAGGAAGTGCTTGTACGGAGGGATATAAGGAAAGAACACACCTAATTCCCTAGCAAATACACAATAACATCATGTCATTGTTTTTTTTTTCATGACGAACGTATTTGGACCTTAAGGATTGGTAACAAGTGTTGAATCCATAAACTATGGAGTTCTTCAGACTCCAACAATGCAAATCATCTCATAGAAATATCAATCACCTGTTCACTGTGAGAAACACGTGTTGTCCTTCTTGTCACCCTAGCTATGATATGCTATGATTATGCTGCCTGTCTACTGTATCACATTCTCCTCTTACTTACATAATCTTGGTTTGGTCACACAAAAATAAACGCATCCCAGTAGTTTGTTCTGAATACTGTATCTTCTAAGTGTGTCAGTTTTTCATACAGTTGTCGACAAGATTGAACATGTCTGAAAAAGTCACCCATATAGTGATAACAAACACACTGTTTCTTTTTTTGATGGAGAAAGTGCCAAATCTCATCGATCTCTAATTAAAGTTACGGACACTGTGCTTGCACTCATATGATATATGACAAACCTATATGTTTTAGAGAATCGAGTTTAGCACATGTTTGACATTCTGATTCTGTTGACACATTGTTCCTTACATGACATCTTTGTATTTATTTGGCATCAGCCTCAGCAGCTTTTGCTTTTCTTCTTCAGTTCTTGGTAGATATAGATCGAAACTCATGGGGTTCATATTGGTTTATTTGAGCTGGGGTACCCAGGAGGGGTGGGAATGGGCTTCTACCAGCGATTGAAAAACTGATTAAAAGTCAACCTTGTTAATAAGTGACAATTTGTTGTGTGGGGTGCGCGATGCTTCGAGTGGCCTGGTGGTCTCAACGTTGCCACCCGTCTCTGCCGCCAGATCTACCACCACGCTACCAGCCTTCATCCCATCAATGTGCTCCTAGCACTCAATACTTACTTGGTCACAAATGCTCACGGCAACAGTGGATCACTGCAAAAACGAACAGAACCAGGCTGGGAGGGACATAAGTGGCATCTGCAGTACACTGTTCACACTCGGAGGAAAACATGACTAACCAGTTTGTAGAAAAATGTTTTAAAACATGTTCCTCACCCACTTCTGAGATCTTCTCAGCTATTCTGGCATGACTCTCACAGCAATAGCAGCACTCCTAGGTATCTTTGCAGTTATGAATCCTGGTGAAGATTCAGAGGTTCGATCTCACACGGTCCTTGTGGACTGTAAAATGGAAGTCTATGAAGGGCGTTCACTCAATCAAATTGCTTGTGATGGATGACCATGCGTAACACTAACACCCCTGCAAAAAGAACTCGCACTTCCTGGCGCATCTATTTCAAGACCCACCAATTCAACCGCCCAGCTGACTCCTTCTTAAGCAGTTTGGGTGCTGGCTTGCCTGGGATCAAGGCAGTAGTGATCACCTGAGCAACCAAAGGACAGCGATGATGGCCATGGTTCAATGGTTAAAACATGTTAAACCTATATGCAAAGATCATCAAAGACCTACCTAATGCATCCTAACGCAAGATTGCTTCATCCATTCACAGTGTTGGCCGCCTTTGGCCGCCTACAGGACCGTTTCAGCACATTCTCAAGCCCAACATTCCAAGTCGCGATGTCACATTCTGCACATTGTTGGCGGAAAAGCTCCATCTCGGCGTCAATAAACTCTTTGGACATCTCCTTGGCATATCCACCTGGTCAAGCAAGCAGCTTCTCAGGTGGGAAGCAGTTCATCCGTTTTCCATAGTTGTCCTTTGTGTCCTTGGAATTGCCAAGCTTTTCGGCAGGTCTTCAAGAAGCTTTGGGGACATCTTCTCTTACTATAGCAAAATGATTGAGCTGAGAAAAAGAGCTCTGACTAAGTACGGTTCGTGACCTATGTTCTTGCCCGACTTATCCCATGGATGGGAAAGGGGTCCACAGCATCTACTGGGGCAGAGATGTAATTTTCTGTAGAACCATGCATCCTGGTCCTCGCGCGTCCTCAACCCCCATTTCCACAGCGTCTGAACTCTGTGCGAGGTTTAGGCGTGGGTCAAAGGACCAGATCCTCACAATTCACGGATCAGGAGAATGACTTAGAAGTGTCGTTTGTAACACTTGGGATGGGTGAGGTAAATTTGACCCATAATCTGGGTCAGGGTCTTCTGGAAAACCATATGGCTGCAATCGAGCCATTCGGTGAAACCTTCTACTTGCCGCGAGCTGCTGCAAGGTCTTCAAAATTGAACCAGTCCTTAGTTGGGAGTGCACCATTGGCCGGATCGATCTCAGGTTTAATGGATCTGATTGGTGAGAGTAGATAATTTTCGGTGTCCCTAGGAGTGTGAATTGTGTAGTCATCTGTGCACAGCACTCGGGTCATTTGTGGTCCTATTTCAAGCTTCAACACCCGCATGCCAAGGCTGCCAAGGTACCCATGTTGTGGTTCACCTGGCACCTGCCAGCACTCCGAGATAGCGATCCTCCACTCCCCTCACACCCAGCCTGCGTTCCAGCTGCTGGACCTGCAAGCGAAGTGCCTGCCACACACACCCCAAAGGCAGCAAGGCCCCGAGGAGCCAAAGGGATAGCGTAAGAGGATCATGAACCAGATATGAAGCCCAGTTTCCAATAAAGGAAAGCAATGCCAAAATGAATGCCACAGAGATGGTTTTGAGCTGGTCTAGCCAGGCTCCATCCGCTTTGCTGTGGAAAAAATTGGCCAGAAGCAGCGTCACCTGAAAAATGAAGGGAAATAGCAACAACCACCATCCAAAAGCACCCGCCGCCATGTATGCAGCCTCCCTCCAGTTTCCGGCGCGTGCACGTGCTGCCACGAGGTCCGCAAAGCCCCACAAAAATGGCGCCCCGCCGACAAGCTGCCAGCAATACGGAAACAACAACCCACCCAGTTGGCGGTAGAGTGTGATCCGGATGCGATTCCGTATCAACTCCTCAAAAGTCTCGACCGAGCCATGCCAGATCCGAAGGCATTCCACCATGACAGCTCGATCGCAAATCATTTGGCCTCCATCCGCCTTCGCAAAAATTGCGAATGATATATATATATATACACACACACACTGTTTCAAAGACTTCACATTTTGTTTGTTAAAAGAGCACAAGAACAAACCACCGGTTCAAAAGTTACCAATCATTAAGCTGCAAAATGTTGAACGCACAAGCCTTCCTATGGTTTCTCTGGCAACAAAGGCAATGTACATGATCAAGGGAAAATGTGGCAAGTTGTCCAAGCATGCTCTCCGAGTTCCGATAATGTGCACGCAAGTAGGAGGAGCAAACGTACAACGAAACCCATCTCGTGGCGAAGAGCAGCAGGATATGCCAAAGACTTTGGCCATCAACAAGAGTCCATTGCAACAATCCAACCTCACTTAGCCAAGGGTTTGCACAGATAAGTTTACATGTGAACCTCCCAAAGTAAACATAGACGATATTAGACGATGCTTCCAAACAATCAACAAAATGTAGTTGGCTTTGCGAGAAACCCAAAGGGCCAAAGCAATGGCCAAAATACAAGGAGCCATAGCTGTCGGCCTGATATAAACCTTTCCTTGTAGATCTTCATGACTCGTCAAGAATGCTGCCAGCTCTAGCATGCACCACATCCGCCCAGCAAATGTTTCATCCCAAACGAGAAGAAAGTTCTGGGAGTATTTAAGGAAGGCTCCAATGCTGACAATGCCCTTGAATTTCAGGTCTTGATCATACTGGTGGATACAAATTTGGTCAAAGAAAACCCAGCGGCTGGATCTCCATGTAAACAGAACAGTGGTGAAAACAAACCCACCTGTGAGCGTGCACCATGGACCGAATACCAGCTTTGTATCTGCTGCGTCGACACTGCCCCTGATTCCTCGCTCCTGAGCCATACAGTCGCAATTAACAATCTTTTGCCGTTTCGTGTGGCCTTAGACCCAGGTGCGAAGTTACTATGGATATAAAAAAATTCTAAAGCAGCTACTGATTTGCTCTTGCAGTCTTGCTGTATAATCAGCTGGGGGTGAGGATTGAGGCCGGGGGGCTGCCTAAGAGGCGGAAACCTGCGCCGGCGGGGTCCATGTGTTCTCTTCTTGGCGGCGCGCGCGCGGTGCCGTGAGGAACAAAAAAGTTTCCTTTGAGCCAGCGTTGTATTCCATGCTTGGCTTCACCCAGCACGCCAAAGACTGACAAAGACCTCTGTGTCTGTGCGTTAGTACACGCCCTATATGATGCGTTTGGTGACCTGCTCCTAGCCAACAATAGTACTCCTTGGATGCTGAGAAGTGCTGAGGTCTTGTGCCGAACCACCAAAACGCTCGCCGAACCCGGTGTTGGCCCTTTTGGCGGCCGCGGGCTAACCCCCTGAATCCGGGCGCCGGCGCGCAGCCCGTGTCCTTGCCGGAGGTCTTCGGTGGTTACCGAAGGCAACTAACGCTCGCGCCCCCAGCTCAGGGCGGACGGACCGAGGGGGGGTCGCGTCGCAACTGATCCCCCTGTAATTTACAGTGTATTTTGCGCGTGGTGTTCACAAACATCGTGCTTTACAGGGTTTCGGGCCCTTCGGCTGGCATGGATTTCATGTTGGCGATGTCTAAAAAAACATCGGTCTTTACGTGGTTTTGACCTCGGACAGGGGGCCCAGGACGGACAAATTCGCATCTTAAGAGTATGTCAGCATAAATCCCGCAAACTACCCTCAACATAGCTCCAACATAGGCTCAAACTGGCCCCAAGATGGGCCAACATAGCCCCAAGATGGGCCAACGTAGGCCCAAGACGGGCTCAACATGGGTCCAAGATCAGATAAGCCAACATAGGCGGCCAACATGGGCCCAAGGTGGCATAGGCCCTAGATCGCCTAACATAAACCCAAAATGGGCTCAACATTGCCCCAAGACCGCCCCACATAGCCGAAAGATGGGTTCAACCTGGCCCAAGACCACAACCACAACCAGAACCACGCAACAACAAGAACCACAACCACAACCACAACAACAACAACAACAACAACCATCCATCCATCCATCCACCCACCCATCCATCCATCCATCCATCCATCCAATGCATATATGTCTATATATATATATATATACTGAGGTGAGATGACTTAGGCCAAGTGGGTCGAAGTGACATACAACTTTCCCAGGGCAAGTCCTAAGTCATGTACAGATGTAAACTCTGCAATTTTATTGGCACACACTCATGACATAGGCCTTGTTGACCTGGTCCTCCGTTTTTTGGTTTGCGCATGCTTCTGGAAGATTAGAGCTAATGAAAGTCCACATGTCAAATTCCTATCTCTCGATGTTTTATCCATTGTTTAGATACCAAAGTCGTATGTCATGATGCTTGTCAATGTGAAATCAACTGTTTTTAAGGATCTTTGGTGACAACCTCTGGCATCTCTCATTTTGAGGTTTTTTCAAAGCGTTTGCTTCATGACATACATACTTGTGGGGGGTGTGTTATATTATATATATATATGTACCCAGAAGTCAAAAAGATCCCAAGAGCGCAAAAAGCTGCATGCAGGCTTTTTCCATTGCGCTTTGGTTGATGCTGGGGTCCTCCCCCAGACCGTGTGTCTTTTGGTCAATTTCAAAATGCCCTGGACTTCGCCAGGGGACAAGGGCGTGTCAGGCAGTAGGATTCGCCCCTCGCTGCCCAACACCCTGCGTCCCCTGGTCCTCGCAGGGCCAATGGGCACCTGTCGTGGTGCCAGGGGACAGGGTCGGGAGGACAGCCCACCGGATCCGGTCACGGGATCTTGGGTGGGCACCTAGGAAAATCCCGTAGAGGACAGAAGTCTTGTGGCAAAAGGAAAATAACGAAGAGGGTCTCCGGGGCCGGTAGCCGGCAATCTAAGGAGAACCCTTCAAAGTCTGGGTGAGTAAGTTCGTCCGCCCAGGTATTGTATTCTCTGGGGGCGTGATTAGGGGCAATGCTACAGTCCAACTGCTGGATGCCCACGTCCATGTTGTTCGCTACCCGCTCCCTCGGATTGTCGCCCTTGACGGGCGCAGAGCCCAAATCAGGGCCAGAGGCACCTGGGGGTGGGGTGCACCCCAGTGCCAGGATGGTGTCATGGGAGTAGTGCAGCTTGGCGTAGAGGGGGTAGGCTTCCGAAGCCGGGACCTCGGCCGCCCAGGTGTGGGTGACATTGCAGCGCCAGTTGACCTTGACATCCACCATTGCCGACTGCGGGAGTTGGCCCACCAGCTTCGCGTGCACTTCAGGAAACTGGGAAACTGCTTCAGTGCATCCAGCGGAATGGTGATGCGCTCGTCACAGATGGCCCTGAAGCGCATGGCCTCCTTGCTGTCGTGCACCGGGGCCACGGGCATCTCCATCACTGGCGCGGGGCAGTTGGTCAGGAAGACCTTGGTGGCCAGGAAAGTGCCCATCTCACAGGGCTGTCAAAAATGAGCTGGCCTCCTTGCGTGCCTCCGTGCGCCTCAAATTCCAGGCCCTTGTGGCTGACCCCGGAGCATCCTTGCCTCGCTGCTTGGCTTCGATGGCCAGAGGGAGGCTGCACCACAAGCTGTAGATGTATTTGAACGTGCACCGCATCGAGTAGATGTGGATGAGGGACTTCAAGTCCCAAGTGCGGCTTTCCCGGCGCCATTTCTCATCCTTGGCGGTGTCATGGGCCCACCAGATGGACAGGATGGACCCCAGTGGCGGCCGAGTTCCCGCCTGCCTGTGTTCTTCCACCTCCTGGTCCGTGTAATGGAAGGGCTCCACCATGTCCGAACCGAAGGAACTGGGGTGAGTCCGTCTCTCCAATGCCCGGTATCTGTCCACCTCCTTGGCTGAGAGTGCACCAGGTTTTGGCTGTGCCCAGTCCGGGAGGGGCGGGCTGAACTCAGGCACCCGGCGCCAGACGCCGCCAAACATTCGAAGCTCACCCCGATGTACCTCAGGGCCCAAAGCAGCATGGCCAATTTCCCCTCCTCATCCATCTCATTGAGGGTCGCCATGCCCGGGCCGGTCACCGCTGGGCCAGTGGCACCAGGAGTTGAAGCCTCCCCAGGTGCCGCGGTAGCCACTGTGTGCTTGAGGTCGGGCATCTCCTCCACAAGCTTGGGGCGCTCAACCCATGGGTTCTGGCCATTTTGCAGTGCCCGCATGGCCGGAAGGTAGTGCTGCAGCATGTCCGAGGGGTCCGGGACCTGGTGCCAGTCCAGTGAGGTCGTCGGACAGAAGAGGCCCCTCTCCACAGCTTGTGTTTGAGGTCGGTGGGCCAGGCCAAGATCTCCACTGGGTTGAGGGCAAACTTTTCCATGAAGGCCGTGCCCTGGTCTTGGATCTGTTTGTTCGCCGCTTTGGCCTTCTCCATGGTGGTGACCGCCGCCTGAAGGGAGGCCTCAGCGCTGCCCGATGATTCCTCCAGCATCCTCTTCTTCAAAGTTGGTTCAGAGGCCCTCGTGAAGCCCGGCAAGGTAGGTGTCTTGGAGGTTGGTTCCTCCATGGGCTGTGGAGCCGGCCTCTTGCTCGGTCGTGGAGGCCCCGGTGCTTGTGCCTTCGCCGGAGGTGTAGAGGGCGAAGAAGTCGTCGCCATGGCATCTACAGGATCTACCGAGTACCCTGCCGGCGCAGGGGGCGTGAAACCTAGGCCTGCTCGCTCACTGTGGTCGTCCTCCATCTGCTCCGTTGGTGCGGCTGCTCGTGGCTCCACCGAAACAGGCCAGGCCACCGGGGGTTCCGCCATGGTTGTCAGAAGCGCAGGCTGGGCCTCCGCTGCAGAAGGTGTAGTAGCGCTCGAGGTCGGTGCCACCGCAGACGCAACCCTCCCCGCCGCTGGGCCAGAGGCACCAGGAGCAGAGGGAGGGTTGCCAGCGCCGCCATCAGCAGGGTCATCTAGCCCCAAGAGGTCCACGCCCATGTCCGCATCTTCTTGATTGGCTATCTGGACCTTGAGTTCCTGCAGGTGGCGCTCCAACTCTCGAATCTGCTCCTGAGCGTCGAGCTCGGAGACCAAAACGGGCTGTCCAAAAACGGCAAGGCCCCTAGCTCCTTCCGCCTCCGCATGACGGAGGGCTGTAGACGCAGCTTCCGCTGCCTGGTCCAAACTCTCAATGCCCGGGCTACTGACCGTAGCCACATCCTCAACGTCTGGCTGGGCATCTCTGAACGACTCAATCATCACATACTCCGCTTCCATCGGGTGCGCCATTGCGTCGTCGTCAACAAGAACCGATGTACTGGGGAGTTTTCTTCCAAAAGTTCCGGTGGAATCCAATGGGCGATTCCCACCAACTTGAGCCAAAATGTCCCGGTGGGACATTTTGTGAACTTCAGTGAACATAAAACTTGCACCCGCAAGCTACATGCAAGTGTGAATATATATATATATATGTGTGTGTGTGTGTGTGTCAGATATCCGTCCCCTTACTCTCCCCATGTCCTTCCTCCCTCTCCTGTGTCGGCCGGCGCCCGGCTGTCAGGCGTAAGCCTTTAAATCCGGCGATGCCGTGTGGTGTAGCTTATCGCCTATAGCTTTACCTACGGGGGGGGTGCTCCCGATGCCGGTTTTGTGAAATCGAGCCAAAAAAATGCGATCTCGCCTGCGCTTCGGGCCGCTTTTGCCCCTCGACCGATTCCAAAAACGGCAAAACGAGAAAAGTAGCAAAATCCTTGAGCCTGGTGGGAGAGAGGCCTTTTGGGGGGAATTCGGGGGGTCGAAAAAATCGTCAAAGCAACAGGGAAATTGAACAGCAATTTGGGATCTGGAAAGGAGCTGGATTTGGACCTTACAGGGACAGCTTTGAAGCTTTTATTTCCGTTTGCGTCAAGGCACAAAACTGTGTAAATTGCATTGCTTTCACAAATTAGAAAAAACATGTCGCAGCATTGCAAGAACTGCGTAAATATCGACGTGCTTTTGGGGCGTGGTGCCCGAAGTGCTGCAAATACCACGCTTTTCGAGAACACCTCGTAAATACCGTGGCTTTGAGCACTCGATAGCTCAAATGCCAAAGCCAGGCGTAAAAGCACCAAAAACATCCAAAAGCTACGCAAATATCGTGGCTTTGGGACACGTTTGAAGCCTTGAGCAGCAAAAAACATCGGTATTTACATTGCTTGCCATCTTTTTGGTCATTAAAGAAAAGCCTCTCCGCCACCAGCCTGAGGGATTTTGCCTGGTATCTTTTTGCTTGCGCCTCAAACGTGTTTGATACGAGGTCTCGGGGGGCGCGCGCGGGCGCGCGAAGCATGCGAAAGGAACAACAACCATAATTACCAAGCAAGAAATACAAAGGCAACGGAACAGTAAGCAAGTGTCCGAAACTGAACACGATAGCGAACACGCGCCCAAGCGGCATCGCCGGTCTGCGAAGCTCTACAATATATCCATGAACAACTCCCAATCTCAGACAGGTGAACATACCTGGCACTGCTGTGTGGATTGCTGAGTGCAATGGTATATGCTGCAAGAAGCACTGCTTGAGTCGCATATACAGTATCAAATTTTAATCCATCATTTTGCTGTGCCCAGCGGCACAAATGCCCAACGTAAAGTTACAGTGTGTGCAGTTAACCAAAAAAAAAATCAACATGTGGTTCTTTCTTTTTGCAAGGACCCTACTTGGCTGTTCTGTTGCTTTATTGGCTACAGTATGCGGCTGGCCAAATATCAATGAATCAATGAACAATTTCTCAATTTCACAATGGTGCAAACAGCTGAACTCAAGGGTACATGCGTGCAAACGCAACTAAGTAACTACTGCTTAAGTGGGCACCACCTAATGCCAAATTGGAACCTATATACATCAGAAAGGGATCACTCGGACCTTGGTAAGTTCAAGAATATAGTGTCACAGGGTCTCAATAATGCTTTAGCCCTTAGCAAGTCCACAACTGTGTCAGCAAACATAAATTAATATCACGATATCAATAATCAGAAAACATAGTTCAAACCATGTCTTTAAAGCTGTAAAACAATACAACACACACACACACACTCGCATAGTGTCTCGCTTCCAGCCGCCTAACAGGCAACCTACTTTGGGCATCTTCCATACTCGTCCAGGCTCGAAACCCGGCAAGAACCCTGCAGCGTGCAAGCACATCATCACCCAAGCTGAGAGGGTGGCGCCTCCAACCTACTAGCCATGGCCTCCAACCTAATAGCAAAAGGAACCTAAAAGCAATGGCCTCGAACCTAATAGCTTCATAAAGCCCAGGCTCGAAACCCGGCAAGAACCCTGCAGCGTGCAAGCACATCATCACCCAAGCTGAGAGGGTGGCTAGGATTGTTGCCGGAGGCCCATTGTAAAGCAGCAGCAAAAGCAAGGCCTTCAACCGCCGACTGCCATGCCAACTGTGACTCCAGAAATCTTGAATCACTGGAACACTGAAGCTGTGCTCATAAAGATCCTTGTTAAGCCAGTGGAGTGCCCGAGCACCGCAACTCAACACCTTGCATGCTCGAGTTGCTCGCAAGACACTCGAGTCAAGTGGTTCCATGCTGGCCACTTGTTTGGCCAACTGTGCAACCTGACTCTGACTATATTGCCTCTGTTTCTGTTGTGTGGTTTCAACGTCTATAGCGACCTCCTCAAGCTGCTCGGTGGAACAGCCAATGGTGTCCGGCTGAGGATCAGCTTCATAAACAGCACTAGGGGCCATGGTGGTGAAACACTCCTTTCCCAAAACCTTCCTTGGGCTTCTGATAGACTGATAGAGGCATTTGTTGTTTAGCTCGAAATATTCGCTTCCAAGATCTACAACATACACAAACTGAGACTAAGTGGATCTAAGTGGTATTGGATGCTCTCACGTGAGTGCTCGAGAGTCTGTCATATAGCCTGTGAGCCATGAGGGTTCACAGTTCAGGAACGGCGCTCTCTCTCTCTCTCTCTCTCTTTCCCTTGCAGGATCATTGTTCACTCACTGACTGAACCTACATTCCTGCTCTCAATGGATGAACAATGTTCAAAGGTCATGTCTGCAAACTGAGTTTCACAATGTTTCACAGGTGCCTGTGCCAGACCCATCTTCATTGATGTTCACTTCCAGGAACTCTCCTTTCTTTCCAAACGATAGGAAAGTACAGTGACTGGACTGGAAGCCTTTTTTTGAAGGCACATCGTCCCAAACCACGGTGGTAAGCGAAGAATATGGAAAATAAGCATGATGTTCTAAGGATTCTTCCACTTCAAAGGACCCTTGTGTAGCTGCCATCGGCCATCCGTAAGTGCACTTTGTTGCCTCATCTTTAGCCCGTTTGTCGAGGACTTCTACTACACTCGAGCATTAAGACTGGGACATATTGGCAATGGCCTAGGAAACCTTTCCTCTCTTTCCCCTTTCCCGCGTCCTCCAGCAGCAACCACTTGCTCTCGGGTAGCCGGTCGGACATCAAAGGCGCGAACCACGCATCCCATATTCTTCGCTTGCCTGTTGGAACAATTCAGTGGTTCAATTGCATTCTACACCACCCAAACCAAAGGAAAAAGTTCTCTTTCACCTACTGCTCTTGTGGAAGAACTCCTGCACCACCTGGACCACCAAACACTCCAAATAGCGATGCTTGTTAGTGGTCCAAGCTTTCTTGCTACTGGTTTGTTTTGGTGGGAATAGCATTCATCCGGTATCATAAACCCGGACCTTCACATGGACCAAACATCTGGTCTCCTGAAGATGTAGGGGTCGTGTGCGTAAGCAAAGGATAGCAAAGGGAAGGTTGAGACGGTCTTCCCAAACAGCCAGGCACAACAGAAACACTCTGAAAGCATACAACACAAATTTACGACATTAGGATCTCACTAGGACCTATGAACTGAAAGAAGCGCCAAAATGCTGAATAGTTTTTGAGAGGACTCTAATCTAGACTCTATATAAAAGGCTAACACCTCGACACAATCTCAACATGGGCTATCTTGGTGACTTGGTGCTGCAAGCTATGCTATATGTGGGGCTGTCAAAATTTGTTGTCTAATCTAATCTGTTGTCTAACCACAAACACTTTCGGACTTCCCACAATGGACAGCTTTGGACTTCAGCTCCTGTGCTCTTCATACCATGTACGTATACCTTGTTTTGACGGCTGTTCATACGTATTTATAGATACTTCCCCTTCAACAATCATGGAAGTGGACAATGGCCCCCCTGGAAGATTACTTTCCTCTACAAACTGGGGCTTGTCCGCGTCCATAATTGCTGCAAAGAGAGTATATAATCTGGAAGAGTTGAACTTTGTCGGCATCAATAACATTTTTTTTTCATGGTCCATGCATGGACAAGAGACATGTCTGTATAAAAGAGCGCCTCTTTAAAAGGGCTATTTAAATAGAGACTTGGGAGTATAGCCAACATCTACTGTTTGGCATCGTGTGAACATGTCTGAACCGGAATCACGAGTCTGCACCAGCTCATTGAGGGAGAAGTTCAGTTCAGTTCTTCAGTTTTTAAGTATATAGTATACACGTATATAATATATATACAGTACACCCAATTAAGATTCAAACAACTGGCAGTGTGGACGTGTCATTGCCAAGCAACTCAGATATCAACAATGTGAGCATGGTTCATTGTATACCATGCACATAATACTTGCAAACAATAAATAATACAAAACTGTGCTAGAAGACCAGTACAGCACGTTCAAACCACAAGTACAAAATATAGAGACTGACGTAACGCAACGACATACTGTAAAACAACAGTATACAACAGGCGTAGCGGCGTAGCATACATTGCACAACAATGCAGAACATAACATAACAACCATAACATAACATGCAGTTGGATTACAATTTGCATCATCATCGATAACAACATCCTGCAACAGTTGACAGCAACAAGTTTGTTGTTGCATTCTTGCAGTGTACCTACATACTGCAGTCAAGTTGCTGGATGGCTGCCAAGCCAGCCACCCCGGCACCAATCACGAGCACCTGCCGGCGTATTGCACGTTGCTATCCAATGCTACGTATCTGCTATCAGTAGATCTGAGAAGAGTTATATAGAACCGGAGAGTTTTATGTTGATAGATGGCGGGAGGGGCTGAATTTCGAACAGGCAAGCACGAAAATGGGCTCCACAAGAAAGCTCCTCCCGCCTGACGGTGAGAGAAGTACTCTTACTCCGCTAAACGCAGTTGTCTCCAATCGGAAAAGCACACGGACATCTAATCTACAGTAACCCTTACATTGCTTTCAAAGGCTGATCTTGGATGTCCGCTTAAGGGCTGGAGATGTGCGCATTCTAGCCGCTAGGTCGTGTCTCACAATTTTGGGGAGGTTTTTGCAGTGAAGCAAGATTGCAATTCCTTAGTCTTGGGAGAGTATCTGCCAACTTCGATAATGTTGCGCACGGACAGGGTGTAGCACGGGTCCACTAAGCATGTCCCACGTCCTTACCTCAAGGGGCATCCAACAAAATGCGTCTGTGACTGCAAAGTAAAATGCTATGCTATATTCGCAACGCTGAAGGAAGCGCCTATCTCTTTTTTCTATGATTTGTTTATGTCGTGTAGCATCATCTATCTGGCGGCCGTATTAGGTGGCTGTACTTGCCGGCCTTGGCTGGGTCCACCTTGCCGGCAGCAGTGAACTGTCCAGCGCAGAAGCGGCCAAAGTGGTGACTCGCCTCAAAGACGTTTCAGCACAACGTATAAGCACTAGTAAAAGCATATGGATCTTAGTTGAAGCAAAAGAAGTAGACATGGTGTAAACGGCTGAAAAAGACCGATGTGAGCAAAAAGTTTGATGCAAAGCTGAACTTCAACCCCAAAGTGAGAGGTCTTGGCCCCAGCTTCTCCCTTTGCAACCCAACACCAGCAACCTTCTGCGTCCTTCCGCTGGGCGGTCACCAATGGGGCCAGCACCAAACATATACCCATGTTTATAACGGAAACTTGCATCCTGTCGAAGCTGCAAGCCTTCAACTTGTTTCGAGGACCACATCTACCTACCTAACTGCATCCCATCCCATCCCATCCCTGCCCTGCCCTACCTACCTATGGTATCTATGTCTAAGTGCACCTATCCCCTCGAATAAAATTTGGGATAATTTTGTGGTGGGTCCCGTCTTCGAACCCAGGTGCCTCCACCACAGCACGGTAGCCTGCAATGTTGGCCTCGCAAGTTGAATCAATCTATTGAAATTGCCTTTGTTCCTAGTAGCGATGCCCTTTGTTACTAGTAGCGTCCCTGCTCCTAGTAGTACGGCCAGGAGCCCCTAGTATGCTCCTAGTGGCGATGCCCTTTGTTGCTAGTAGCTTTGGTGTCTCCATGTGTGTCACTGTGTCCCCCAACTTTGGGGTTCGTCATGTCTTTATCCACGATACATGTCTGAGGCAGACCCACTCTGAAGCTTGGGCTACACTTCCGACAAACAATATCGATCCGGGCTGCAATCCTACAATCCTGCTATTTCAGCTTATATCTAGGACAAATAAACAAATACATATAATATATATATATATATTAAGAATTATTAAGATATATTAAGTGTCACAACAACATACAGCAAATATAATTCACCCTGAGGGACCATAGAGCTGAGGACATCATAGGCTTGTGCCCTGCTCAAGGTTCTTGGCATCTGATCCTCAGAGTCAGTAAACATTGAACACCAAGTACCTTGCTCCTTTGGAACTACTCGGAACTATTAAACGCAGCAAATTCGTGTTGCTGCTGCTATTGTCGCTTGAAGATCCCTTCAGCTTGGGACGGATGTGCCATTGTTTCCAAACGCAGCTTCCCAATGCCCATAGGCCCAAAGAGACTGGCTGGAAGGAAAATAGAAGCACCTAACAATTTATATAAGTCTAACCAAAAAGGGAAGGAATATGAAGGAATCGCAGAACAACAATCTAATTCCAAAATATCAACAACTGCAGAATCGAGCGACCGAGTATGGTAGAATGATCTCTCACAGCATGTTTGCAACTAAACAACACCATCGCCTCACGATCGCTGCAAAGACCCTGGTGTGTGGCTGCCTACAACTTCAAACGGCAAGGATCCATTGCAAAGCAAGTGATATTCTTCTCTTTGAGCTTTTCCACGAGCTTTTCATTTTGCGCAGGGTAGACCATGCCTTGGCTTGCTGGCCTTGCTGAAACAGTAGCTCCGTTATGACCTCTCTCTAGCACTTTCCCACGGAAACGAAGGTCACTTGGCAACACCAGAAGCTCTCAATTGTTCAACTGAAACAATTGTTCCAAGCCTGCGAAGCTGCGTTTTGTGCAACAATGCGGTAAGGTCGTACAAAGTAGACATGGAATCGTGAAAGCACTCAACGTCAAGCACCAACGTGGCAACTTTCAGTTGCAAACGGGGAACTTGAACAAAGTTGGAGAGCTCTGAATACCACAAACATGGTGCAAGTAATACAAAAAACTCCTGCCAGTGCCTTGTACAATACCGTGAAGGTTGTGAGAGGAGGCGTAGGAAGACTAGTGACTAGCGATGCAAAATACAGGAGCATGAACCTCACACTAGACCCAAAACGGTCAAACTGAGTCGTAGACCCGTACTGCCGTACTTGGTGACAACAGTCTACCGCCCTATGTTGCCTGTATGGATTGAAATAAGGCATTGAGGAGTACTCGTTCAGGTGATGAGAAACAAGACCTTTAATCCATCATCAGTTCCACTCTAGGTCATCAATCAAGGTGCTAAACAGAATGGTGTCCTTTCTCATGGCTCCAACCTCTTTCTCGCTTGGAGGGCGAACCTTGAAGATGATAGTTGCCTGCGCTGGATATCAGTCAGCACATAGAGATGCTAGATTTGGCTTATAACTGACCAAATGCATTGCCGCTGCATTGCCCCTGTTCCAAACTGTTCTGTGGCTCTTTGGGCTTTCAGAAATGTGATGTCTCTTGACAGCAAGAGCGTAAGTTTTGTACATTAAAGCACAGGCATCACGCGACCACAATGTAGTCATATGTTCAGCACATGACAGAAATGAACAAATGCATACAAATGCACTATGTCCTGAGACCAGGAACATATTTGCACGTCATGTTTTGATTGTTTCTGCGCTGCGCCTCCGCCTGACGACCGAATGCATCAACAAAATCAACACTAAAAAGCAACAGTATTAAGGTTGGTTACAACATGTTACAAAATCGAACAGGCCCCTGTCGGCCTTCCAGCTTCAATTATTGAGATTTGAACATCAGCGTCAGTCAGTTAGAATTTATTGGAGCCACTCTCTGACCTTTGTGAATCTGTGAACAGCAGAATGATGCTAATGTATCCTCTCAACACAAAGACCAATCAACCATAATGAACCTCTCGAATGAGTTGCCGAAACTCAACGCTTGGCACCCAGCTACCGACTCATCGCCAGCATCTCCTGCACGACTCCCACCGACAGTCCCACCGACTCCCGCCTGATGCATCACCGCCTTGGCATCTGGCAAGACCTCCGCACCGGCCTCCCGGAAGTCGTCATCCGAGAACTCAGCGTTCACACCAGCGCCAGCCTCAGGAGGGTGGAGAGGTTGCCACAAAGGTGGCGCGATATCTTGAAGCATCTTAAAGCCCTTTAGGAAGCAATCCGGAAGAAGCCCCGAAGGCGGCGGAGGAACCCCAAAATTTGGTGGTCCAAAAAGTGAGGAGAGCTCAGCCTGGGACCTTGCGAGCGGGGTGGTGTGACACCACTACGTCACTACGTCACCGGACCTGCTGCTGCATAATATTGCTCCATAAGTAAAGGAAGGGCATGGTCAGCGGCATGGTCCAAGTCCAAACACGGTACGTCTCACAGGTCCGGCGGTGTTGGGGGCCAAATGCGCCTGTTAGGTCAGTTCACAGAAGCATCCCCAATACCCCTCCAGCACAACACCCGACAGCGTAGACCCAAGCAGGTGGTGCTCAGGGGTACCCTGCGAAGATTCATCGTGTAACCACCCCTGATTCGATTCGATATAGTTGTAATATATGCACATATATGTACTGTATATATATATACATAGTTAATATGGATATTGATTGTTGAACAGCCCAGTCTGGCTGGCACCTTGCAAAGGACAAGTCATCAGTCTCTGATCTCAACTTTGATACACAGCCATGTGAACACGTTTTGACCTTCCAGTGATGAAGCTCACAATGTCACCGAGCCGCTTGCACGACCTCAGTGTTGCAAGGTCTGTGTTCCTCAACCCAGCACATCCAAATGGAATAAGTTTGAAACAACATCCTCACTGAAAGCACTCACAAAAATGCATATAATTGGACTGAGACCAGTAACCGGACCTTGATTTAGCTCTGCACAGGCATACAAAAAGTCAAAGAAATACCCGCCAGCAAATTCCAAGCTCCTAATGACTTTGGTTCAGTACGGGTTAAACCAATATGCCCTTCTAACAAAGGTGGCAAAATGCCCAAGTGTGGTCTCAAGCTCCCATATCTATGGTGACCTCAAAGGAAATCATAAAGACAACAACAATTGATTAGTCTATAGATGTCTTTAGTCTATAGAGTCTACTGATTTCACCTAAGCAGGGTTGGGTTTGTAGCTTTGACCTACAAAAAGAAATCATTTTGGATATGTCTCAACCACCGCAGGTCTCATGATGCTTGGCGCCTAGGCCTAGATGTGCCTAGATCTTGATATACCTAGACGCGGATCGACAAACATCCCAGTGTGACTGAAATACGGCAGTCGCACTCTGAGCAATCCACGTACTTTGAAGTGATGCATTGGAAAAACCTTCCATTCCACATCCGCATTCTCCTACACACGACCTATATTCCACACATTTCCACACCACTCACTCTTCGCAACATTTCGCAGCCAGGTGGCAACACGGAAGCCTTCAGCTTGGAGCATCTTTACCGACGCCGGGGTGGCACTGACCCGCTTCTCGATCTCTTTGGTGCCACTCTGCAGCGCAGTCTCCTGGAGGCGGAGGCCCGAGGCCGGTCAAACAAAAAAGCCGGAAGGTATGAGCTGCAGGCATAGGGTAGCTTGTATGACCGGTTTTGGGGTAACCGGACTACATAAGTGAAGAATAGGTAGGCTCTGGTTGGCTGCAAAGCAATCCATTGGACTTTGAAAGAACATCAGAAAATAGCGGAAACATGGGAACCTGAAGACGACATTAATCAATGAGCTCATCAAGCCATTGTCAAGCAGTTCTATGGCCGCCAGCTTTCGCACAAACACCATTTCACAAAAAGGAGACGGAGCACCTTTCAACAAGTTCACAACAGGCCATGGATGTCAAGTGCTCGGCAAAAGTTGCATGTCCCCCAGAAAACCCGAGGGTCCACTACCTCATTTGTCATTTGCATGACTTGTTCCCAGCAAAAGCTGGCATTGGCTGGCAGCTACTAGCAGTGCAAAAAAAACACATGCAAACGGCAAACATTAATGTACTGCTGACAACTGTTCTTGCTGCATGCTCACAAATTGAACTTCATCAATGTCATACCATGAACCAAATGAGTTTATCCTTGAGGACACCGACGGTCATCTCTGCACCTTGAGACATATTCAAGCATTTACTCCATGTTCCGATATATATATATATATTACTATTTATTTTTTAAAGCCGCTTCTCGAGATGATGTCCCGTGGCCGCCCACGGCCCACATGAACAAAACCTTCCAAAGGGTTTGTTGAAGTGTCTGATTTTGCTTCACTCTAGATTCTAATAGATTCTAGATGAATACAGTTGTAAGGCTTGACATTGCTGCAAAGCATGCCAAAGTGAAATGCATCTTGAACTCTTGAGGAGAGAACTTCGACAAGCCAAGGTGCAAGGTGTTGCCCAGTATTCAACGCAGCCTTCAGAGAGGTCACCGATGATGCAGCCCTCGGGCAGTCGTAGCTCTTCGCCTGAATCATAGCCGCCTGAATGAGTGGAGGCTGAAACATCCGCTCAAAGTTCACATGCAAAATGTATCAAGATATTCAAACAGCTTTCCCGCACAAAAGAAAGGCTCCAATTCTATCAATTGGGTGCATGTGAGAGTGGCATTATACTTGACACCCGAAGGACAAATCAAGCAGGTACAGAATCAGCTCCATGCATATCCCCGGCCGATGTTTCCACGAACTAACTTCTGTTTGGCGCCAAACACTTTCCCTCTCCGCGCCTCTCGACTGGCGAACAAGACGCTCCCGCGCACGCAGGCCCAAACAGCCAAAGGCGCCCAACGCCAAGGCGCCCAGCGAGGTACCGACAAAGCCTGGGCGTGGCAGGCGTTTGGATTCGGATCATGATGCATCACTGGAATATAAATATATCGAATCCTCACACGCCCATGTGCCGGCACGAGCTCTTACTTCATCGCTTTTGAACGCTGCTTGAGTTTTTACAAGCCCATATACAAAGCCTTACACCCACAGTGCAAGCCTACCGTCGTACAAATTTCATGGGGGGGCGGCTTCTTGAAAAAAGCAGAATATTTCCTGCGCGCACGTGGCTGTACCTGAGATGTTTGGTAATTTTATGGTTTGGTGGGCGTTTACGTTATCATTGCAGGACCATGACTAATAATTAGAAAGAAAGACATCTGACCAGATTTGGCCAATGACATTAATATAAGGTGGCCGTTTAGTGCGGGGGAATGATCAGGTCAACAGCAATACGACTAGGAAAAAGTAAGTGACCAGTCAATGCACAGGCTCAAGGAACGTACAATACAAACATGTTCTCAGAACTGGTTGCAGGACGGCTTCTTGAATCCTTCTCAAGGCTGTGGGTCAAAACCCGGAGCCCCAAACCCTGGTAGGTTGACCTCCCAGGTCTATTCTGTTCATTATCGGTGGTCAACCACGGTCCCCCGGTTTTGATCCGCAGCCATTTGTGAAATCCTCGCATCGGAGATCCAACAGAGATCATTGGAGATCCCCTGTTGAGGCAAGACTCGTAAAGACTGGCTGTCTTCTCCGTCTGGCAAGCTGGAGCTGCCACCATGAGAACTCTTGACCTGCCGCGTGAGGGAGGATGGTATGCGGCTGAAAAGGCCGCAGACCCCTCCATGAGTCTGATCCCAATGACTGATTCCTGGCAGAACTTGAACGCACTCTGAGTCTTGGCTATTGGCTATCTTGCCCCCCCTAAGAGCCACGAAGTGTCGTTCATAGATGGTCTCAATACATCAGTCATTGGTCCTCTTCCTCGTAGTGACTAACCAGGACATCTCCTGACATGCTTCAACCTCTAAGCACCCAGTCTGCTGTACATCAGTTGACTGGATTGCAGTGGTTTCAAAACTAATTCCAAACATGTTCACAGGGGACTTCCTGCTGAAGTCCCTTCGGGAACCGGCGACGCATCATCTCATGATGTCTAATGCCACACCTGTTGCGAAGGGCGGAGTCCACCGCGGTTTCCGCCCGGCTGGACGAAGGTCTCAAAGGCCGTCCATCCTGCGAAAAGGAAGGAAATCAAAGGAAACTATGACAATGGAGAAGACAAAAATGGAAACGCCAGAACCATCAGGTGTTCTAAAGAAAGATTGTCTTCCGAGCGCACATGTTCAGATTCTATAGTAGTTGGCGGGTGCAAAGGTGATTGATGGTCCTGGACCGGAGTCTTTAGATCAATTTCATGGGCCTACATTTGGGGATACGGAGTCGGAATCCATCGGAATCCACTGGGGACCACCGTCAAGCAAAGTTGGTGTGTTTCAAGCCAAATTGCAGAATACAGTTAACAATGTACTGTGAAAAGAGCACCTGAAAGTCCAGCTCCCTATAAACAAGTTAATTAGTAAGCTGTTGTAAGCCCAATCTTTATTGCGTCCTTCCTGCCAAGCCTGGCGCGATTTCGACTGCAAGCGCAAATTGCCACAATATAGTGCAACCAACGGACCGCACTAGCTGGAAGCTATGGAAACGAGCTAGATGCGTGGCTGCTCGATGATGTCAAAACTTCGACTTTTGTAGATTGTCGGGCCCCTGCTGGTGTGCCAATTCATTCACAAAGATTCAATGGGTTCAAGACTGAGAGGGGCAAATTTGGACACCCTGCATCAGATTTATTGATAGTGCAAGACAATGCTATATCTTTGGGAAGTGTATGCAACTGACTCCCGGTTGAATCTACTGCATATCTCCATGATGGTATGTCGGAGGTGCTATCTTGACATAAACGTGGCCCCCCCAAACAAACAAAGTGCTCCTCCAAGCACATCCATGCTTTATGAGTCTTTATGCTTGGTGGGGTTCCTAGGCTCCTATCTGTAAAAACGAAAAGAACAAGGAAGAAAGAAGGACAGCAGAAAAATCTGAACTTCTAGAGGATAAAGGACGCTACTAGGGGCTCCTGGCATCGCTACTAGGAGCAAGACGCTACTAGGAACAAATCTACAGTACATCTGTGCTCTCGATGCTCTCCTCCGGCCACCAGAACCACGGAGAGCAAAATCGACAGCAGCACGCCGCGGCTACGACGACCTGCACATAGACCGGTGGAGTCGCTTTGAGTCGCTTTATTCGACCAAAAGATCTGGCATGGACTGTGTCAGAGACTCGGGGAGACCCAGTCAGATGTCACAAGACCTCGTGGCCTCGTGATATAGGAAAAGCGCGTGCAGAACCAATGGCGGACTCCTGTTTGATGTCATCGACATCCCTTTGGGTGATACTTGGCCCATAATTAGTTGGATTATGTATATATAATTATATATATAGTACTATAGTTACAGTTAATATATATTATATTGTAATATGTAGATAAAGTCTAGTCATGTTTAGTCAACAGCTGAACCCAGTGAGTCCTTCAATGTGCGTTTTGGATCGTTTTGGAGCACCCGTGTGTTCTTTCCAACCCAGGGCTCACAATTCAGTGGGGTTGCGGCTAGAGTGATCGGACTCGCACCTACTGGTAGGAGAACAACACCTGATTGTGCTAGAAACAATGCTTATCACAAAATCGTAGAGTCAATGATTAAGTTTGGAAACGCAGCAACAAATTATTTGCTTGCATGAACTTGGCTTTCCTGGAGTGATTCTATCCCCTCCTGAAAGTTGCGTTCAGTAGCCCAATCGAACTCATGCCCGTGACTTTCCCTCCCGCGCCTAAATGCTTTTGGAACATGCTCCGGATTCCAGATGGTCCGCAATCCTCAAACGCGAACATCTATCGACCATCGTCTCCAACAATGATTCAAATCCAGGGCATTCATGGGCATTCTAATTTGGCAGAAGCAGCATCATCAGTCAAACCAACTGCTCACTAAATGACGGACCAACGGGACATTCCAGGAAATGAAACTGTCCAACGTGGATGAAGTGTGACTAAAAGCTTGTAACTTGTTGCAAATTCAACCAAGAGATTTGCTGTGCAATCTAGATCTAGCTGAACTGTCTTAATTAAGTCGTGATCCAACAGGACAGCTAGAAATGTCTGCCCGCGCCTTAACTGAGCCAGGCGTCTACGCAAACAGCAAAGACTTTGAGCAAAATTTCTGCGCCCATGGACAGATCATGTACTTCCCAACTCCCCAAAATTTCACGGATGACTCTGTCCGGAGAACAATCTTGCTTGACACATCTTGACGTTATTCGTTGCAGCTCTCCTAGTCCTCCTGAAGGGTCTTTCCCACATGATGAAACATGATCGCCCGTCTCGCAAGACAATCCAGGTTGGCCTGGATGCAGGAGCTGATCACATAACCATCAGCCACTGGAATCACATGGGAAAGGCCTCCGCCCAGTTGGGGCACCACAGTGCAACTAGGGCCGCTCATTCGACACAAGCGGCTTCCGAAAGTGACTCTGAACATACTTGAGCAATGTTGAACACCATATGCCGTATGCTGCCCATGAAACCTGCAAAGCACCACTATGGTGCAACGTCCTGAGAAACAAGTATGTGTCCACAGAGTGTGTGCGTGTGTGTCACACCCTGTTTCTAAGGGTCACCAGCAGGGGGTGCAAGCAGCCCATCCAGTCTTGCACCAACGAAGACACTGGATGCGTGCTGGTGATATTGATCCGGGACGCTGGATCAACGTACCTGCTTGTTTAAACTGTTGTCCAAGCTTTTATCACACTCTTTCATAAAAAAGTGCCAATGCGAGTGTTCAAACAATACAGTTTTGGCCGACTCTTCACCTTGCCGTTACTTCAGCCAAGGTCCATTGCAGTATTCTAAAGCGCTAATGCATCGGTGAAACACTAACTTATTGACTGTTCGTGCAAATGAGCTTTACATCTAAGTGTGTGTGTGTGTGTCAAGTCTTTTGGGAAGGTGGCCGAAGCTGTGTGAAGCTTGGCCGAAAAGCTTGGCCAATGACAGAAAGTGTCTACACTGTAGTGTTGAGGGAGAATCATCATCTGGAGTAAAAATGCACTAACCGGGAGAATTAATCCCTTTTCACCGTGTGTGGCGCATACATAGTTCCAGGTCTGGTTGTCCCTCTGCAGCAACTGGGCTCGTTGAAAAAAGACCTTCTGCAGCACATATGCTGCCGTAGACTCCGTCCTTACTACATAATTACGTGCTAACCTTGTGCAATCTTGCCAGTCAATGTCCTTACCTTACGTGAACTACCGTATATGTAAATGATTATAAATGTAAGACTTGTTACATGGAGTTGTTGGTCAGTTCGGTTGCAGCTCCATTTTCTGTAGGCACGTGGATCAAATGGACTTCAATGTGATGAGCTTGCCCGTCCTAGGCGAGTAACAACATGTCTAGTACGACTAGTACGATAAACCTCTAGGTCCCAAGGTCCAGGTTCTAGAGACAAAAGATACAGTACAATAATTAGTCCAAATTTTAGTTGGGTTCCACACCTTCGCCCGAGTCCACCACCAAGCCGGTGAGGTTAGGGCTGCCTGCCTCGGCCACACCAAATGACACCTTCCCCAACTATGTTATGACACATGCTGGAGGCCATCGATGGCCATCGCTTCTAGGTTGGAGGCCATCGCTTCTAGAGTGGAGGCCATCGCTAGTAGGTTGGATGCCATCACTATTAGGTTGGAGCCCATCGCTATTGGGTTGGAGCCCATTGCTGCTACAAGTAGTAGGGTGCAGGCCATCGCAATGAGGTTGGAAAAAAAATATTTTGGAACACACATGTGACCCTGAGGTTCATCCATACATAGCATGCATAGGATGCAGGGAAATGGAAGCCTGGGTCTCGGTGGTTTGCTGAAAGTGGCGTTCACTTTCTTAACCAGCTGGAAACTGACATTGATCCTTTGCACGGCCTCATTTAGATTTCTCAACAAACATCAACCACAAACAGCAAGCCCGCCTTTGGATGCACCTGGATAGCACCCTACAGTTCTACTTCAAGCCCATCAGCTGAGATGATGGCACCCTCCATCTCCATCTGCACATCGAAGACCTAAAGCGCACTAGAAGTAGAAGCAACAAGCCATGCCATGATGAAACCCAGTCAATGAGTAAGGGCGTTCACCTCCTTCATGGCAACAATCTGCCTCATCACTCATTCCTGTGTACCTTACTGTCAGAAGCGCAACACACCACAATCTGTCATCATCATCATCATCATCATCATCATCATCATCATCTTGCAGTACAACAGTGTGTATCACGGCTCACCACGCTAGTCAAAGGGCTCGGCCCACTGAGCGTAGAGTGCCAAAACGGCCTGGACGCCAATGTACAATCCCTTGACCTTGCGACCCGAAGAGGGTTCAAGTCAACTCTTGCATCTTCACACACATGCAATTCCGCGCGTTGTTCAGTTTCGTTTCCTAAATGTCCGTGTTGCTGAAGCAAACAATGCAAAATTAGTTCCAATGGCTTGGCGTCAGCTATTCAAACCAGCCTGTTTTCTCCCAAACAACCTAGCTATGTACATCCCAACCAACACTGGATTGCTAAGAATGTCATATGCCTGTATCAACTCACTAAAAGGATGTTGCCTCAAGCAGGTTAGCCAAAAGAATCTCAGAATCGGGCATTGAAGGTTTCGAACCTTCGCAAGCAGCATGCTTGTGCGACCGATTCAAATCTACTTGGACTTCTGTCCACCCAATCCTGATTGTTTGTTGCTGAGTTAGTGTAGTCTGTTGGAGCCTATTTATTTCTGGTTGTTGTTTCCAAAGAATGAGCATGAATGAGCATTACAACATTTTACCGGGAATGCCAAGTGGTCTTCTGTGCGTGGCCATGCTCGGTGTTCCTGCAATGACACGTGCCAGGGATCAAAGCTATACCAGCTGGGTTGAAAAAGACATGTTAGACGAGAACAACGGTTTGCAAGCCTGGTACAGCCTACCATTGTAGACCAAATACCGAGTAGTCCCTCTAGACTTGACAACTGAACATTGTTTTTTCAAACAGCCTGGTGGCTTTTAGGTTATATACCCTCCTGGTCGCGGTGAATCATGTGTAATTATGCTTTGGACTGCTCGCGCCTCTGCAAGTCCGACAATAGGGTTTGATAGGCTACAGTCTTTACGGCAGTGTCTGAGTGTCTACGCAACGATCAAACTCATCTTGGACCAGGGTCAAGTACGTAGAACCACACAAAGCTGTCAATCTTGCTTCAACCCTCCTTCCTTCCCAGCCTCGACACCCATAACAAATATCAAATAACATCAGAAATAACTAATAACTGAAAACCACGAGCACCACTGTGTGCTTCCGCCTTTTGCCAGCTTGGTGCCCTCTAGATCTGAGTGGCATCATCTCTGCCATCAGCTCGCGGTTCTCCGGTGTGTTGAATGGAGGCTCTGTGAGGAGAAAGTCCTTAGATAAGGTAGCTCGTTTGATTCCAAAACAACAACAACAACAACAACAACTGCACTGGTTCCTAAAAGAATCACCTCTCACTCTCGTGTCATGGTCATGATCAGAGCTGTTCAGGGTGCACCTAGTCTAAGATGCTTATGTGGGATCTATGAAGCACTGGAGATCTTGCCACCAAGATGCATGCTCCTCTGGATTGCATCGCAGGTTCCGAAAAATTGCCTCCCAAACAAGGCCCCAAAAAACACTGAGAAAAAGATATCAACTTCTACTTAACTTATTCTTCCTTCCTTTCCAGGAATGAACATTCCAAATCAAACCCAAGGCAATGTAAAACGTGATAAACTTCATGACCTACTTGGTGATGTTAAACTTCTGGATTTCAGGACGTAAACCACACATGTCTGGCTGAATGATGCCTGCTGCAAGAAACGCTCCATGTCATCCCAGTTCTCAATCCTGAAGCCAGGAGCAAGTTCGGGCACAAAAGATTCTGCTTGCAAAAACTGGTGTGTTCTCTTAACTGGCATATATTCAATTGCTTGGTGCTAGTCCCGCAGCAGTGCGTGCAACAATCTTCAAAACCTGCAAGAAAAGGCCGTTTGTGATGATTGTGTTCTTCAAAGCCTGCGTGAGTCTCAGCGGCTGCAAATCCTGCAATAGAGAACCGATGCCCTCGGGATCACTTTGACGCCCTCGATGCGGTGCACTGGCCTTCCCTTGGAGACCGGCGATGAGAGAAGATAATTTGGGGAGTCCTGGCGAGGATCCACATTCCAGCTGAACACTGAGCAAAATAACACATAGTAAGAATTGAATGTAAGTGATGAACATCAAAATCGGGTCCACAGGTTTACACTGAACCCTTCATGCCTGTATATGTCTTATGCAAGGTCAGATGAGCTCGAATCTTAATTGACTCAAGGAGTTGAGCTGTCGTTTATATATTGAATAGTCTTAGAACTTCACTCCCTGCAATCATACTAGGCCTCTAAGTCCAAACAGCTCTCAAGGCTGTCCTTATATATTGCTTTCCTGTGAGCAATAGCGAAGGAAACATTGCGCAATAGCTAAATGTGAATGTTTTATATATCCTTTTCTTATTTCCGAGCGCGTCAAGCGAACGAGAGCTACTGCGCCTTCCGGGCATATGCCTGATCATGGACGAAACGAGCGTCGGGGGACTACTACATCCATCTACATCCTGCGTGGTGCTTCTAGAATTGGAGGAATTCTCAACTGACACTATTCGAAAGGAAGTGCAACCTGTAACCCTGTCATGATTCTTGCTATATATCTTCACCCGCTTCGCACTTGAATTAGTGACAGCGAGCAAGAGGACTTGCACAAGTTTTCAAGACAAAGTGAGAACCCTGAAACAGCAAACCATAGATGAGTGTGATGCTGTAGTATGTGTAATGAAGCCGCCAGGGATGAACTTGCGATTGGGTGGGTTTGGCTTAGCAATGCTTTGCACCTCGTCCCCAATGTAGAAGTCGGCATCTGCCAGGCCCTGGGAGGAGGGACTTTGGCTCAAATGCACACCTCAGTGTTGGCGACAACTTAGCACCGGATCCGGTCGGCCGGTCAGCCGGCCGACCGGATCCAGGCAACTCAAAGGCCCGTGGCGTCTGCTTGGAGGCCAGGAGGGCTGCACCCAGGGGGTGGGCAGGCAAGTTTGTGTTTGCAAGCGCTGCTCCGGGCACAACCAGTTCAGGATGCTGCCTGACCAATTC